GAGAAATGATTTCAATGATCCTTTCAAACGTTCGAACAGTGACAAGTCAGTAGGTGCTTTAAGCTGAATTTCTTGTTTTGAAGAATATATCCCTGTAATCACATATATTTATTTATATAAAAGAAATGTTGTATATTTAGTATTAATTCAAAATAATCCGGATAAATTGTGTACCAATTTTTAATTACAAATTCTTTAAATATGTTTTACTTAATTCTTTTTCTTTTTAAATAAAAATATTAAGGTCTCAATAGCTTTATTATTGTATAATAAGTAATAAAGCAGTTTATTACTTACAGTTAGCATTCTAGGTAATTTGGAAATTATGCAAGGATCATTGGGGTCATCATTTTTTTTACTCAATTTCATTTGCTGAATCCGAAAATCATACTTAAAATAGTCCGAGTTTCCGGGAAATATAATTTTATGACATTTTATTTAGCAGAAGAAAGCAGTAGTTGATTTTATCATTTCGTCGATATTTTGTATTATAAAATCAATTATTATTAAAGTCTTACTTATATTATAGAGTAAATAAAATTTCGTAATAAAGAGTACTGAAGAGTGTTTATGGAGCGGAATACTACACAAGATGTCCTATTTTAATTTCTGCAAGCATCTCAAAAAGCATAAAGGATACTAAAAAATGTTTCAAATAAAAGTGAAATGGCTTTGAAAGTAATGTATTTGGTTACATTATATTTTTCTAGGCGGAGGCGCTAAAAAGATATGAAGATTGCCTCAACTTTTTTAAATAAAATTATATAAATTTTTTATACTATGTGATTCCTCTAATTATTCTGCATATAAAAGTATTAAGGTATATATAAGGTATAAGTATCAAAGTGGAGATATAAAAAAAAAATAGTTCATGAAATATTTTATACTTTATTTTGATATATTTTGACATGAAATATTAAAAAATTAAAGTAATAATAATAATAATAATAAAGGGCTTTAAATAATATAAATTAAAAATATGTATAATGACAAGATATTGAAGAGCCAATCGCAGAATTTATTGCGTAAAAACAGTTAATATATTCAATCAATAATCACATTGAGTTATTATTAAAACCTAATCTTATGAATTCGAATTTTTGACATGTTTCAGCTACTTATTCGAGCCTTCTTCAGAAAAGCAAAATGAGTTTAATTATAATTACGACTTCTTCTCAATCGCTTTTGGTAAGTTGTTTCCAGAATAATTGGAGCTGCTCACATGACGGTTGGATGACCGTGTCGAGAATTTGATTGTGCTGATAAATGAAATATAAGAAAATGTTTTCTTTAAGAATTAGCAGAAACAATTATTATTCTGGTAAAAACTTACTGATCTTGAACAAATTGTAGTCGGTTAAACATAACTGACATATTAATTAGTTACTGGATAGTTATTATGAATTAATGTTTCAATTATAAAATTTAAATTTGTTTCGTGGTGTATCGAGTCAGATAATAAAAAAGCTTTGTCTACTAAGCTTTGTAAACTAATATTGTAATAGTGCATATTTTTTGAGAGATAGAGTGGTTTGAATAAAAGTTTAAATATTTTCCCGAGAAGTTCGGTTTGTAATACCAGTTAAATGTGAGATTATTCTCTTTCTTGCTAATAGTGACGTCTAAAAAGTTCAGTAACATCTTCTCTTCTTTCTATGTTAAATTGTAGACGTGGATAGAAAGAGTTAAAGCAGTCTAATATGAGATCAATTTGGAAAGATGGAGCAGCCATAAATAAATCATCCATATAGCGATAATAGAAAGATAACAGATTTAATGACATCAAAACTGTGCAATCTAGTCTTTGCAGTATTAAGTTAGCAACAATGAGGGACAATGGAGAACCCATAGGTGTACCAAAGCATTGTTTATTGATTCTTTTATCAAATGTAAAAAAAAAGTAGAATTTAGTATAAACTATTGCCACGAGGAACTCTGTTTTTGCAAGGTACATTTTTTGGAGATATAGGACTGGGATTTTCGTTTATGCAATCCATCGCAATATCTAATGGGATGTTCGTGAAAAGCGAGACAGGGTCGAAAGAAGTTAATTCAAAATTGTTCTCAATTTTTATGTTTTTGAGACGCTCCACCAAGCTATTTTTTATATAACTGTCTGCTTTTAGAATGGATTCCCATCTAAATGATCTTTTGAAGGAAGCTAGTTTATATAATGGACTGCCTATAGAGGAGATGATAATTCTATAAGGACAGTCCCGGTTTATGGATTTTCAGGAGCATCCTATCGCTGCAATATAGACTTTTATATTTAGAGTCACTAATAATTTGATCTCTCTTCCATCTTGTTTCTTCAAATCTCGTAATTCTTTAGTAAGGTTTTTTAGCAAGATTTTTTTATAACTTCATATAATATTCTTCTTATTTTTGTTATTAGATAGAGTATTAGATAGAGAAAAATTTTTTCCTAACTATAAAAAGCATTGCACGTTTTCCGGAATCTTAACAGATGATAAGTTCACAAATCATTTCTCTTCAAGGACGGAAAGCGATAATGAAATATTAACATAGTATTTCTATCTTTCAAATATATATCGTGTTTATAAATATAAACATTTTTCCATCGTCGATCTATATGTGATGCGATTTTCGACAAGATTAATATATTGGTTTAATCGTGTCATCACAGAAATTGGGACCTGTGCGTCCACACAACGATCATATAATACTTGGTGAATAATATCTGACAGAGAAGAGAAGTATTTTGAGAGTGTTTGATTGAATTAAATTCCATGGATACATATTAAGATTTATGAAAAAATTACAAACTTTGAACAATAACCCCGTTAATTAAAGATCTTGTTTTAATTATTATGCCTATTTTATTGTTCAATAATTATATACAAGTAGGTCGAACATTATGAATCAATGATTTACATTTAAATTTAATTTTATATTAAGACAATTCTAAAACTTACATACTGATGAAGATTAGATTGTGAAATGGTACGCGTTGCTATAATTTGAATATAATTATTGCGTAAGAGATTTAGCATTTGAATTTTATGTTTTTTATTATTGAATGTTTTAAAATATTAAATATTTCGTAAACTATTAGTTTGTTTGGTATCTTAATACTTGTATGCAGAATAATTAAAGAAATTATATTATGTAAAAAAATCATATAATTTCATTTCCAAAAATGGAGGTGATCTTCATATTTTTGGAATTTTTTATCAACTTTTTAGTACTACATTTTTTCATTTTTATCAATATGAAAAAATACGGTAATAAAAAATTTTGAAAAAATTCTAAAAAAATTCTTAGAGCTCTATGAGAGGAAAATAAACAATTTTTGTCTCTTGTAATTTTTCTGTAAAGTTTATAGTATTTGAGTATAAAATTATTGAAGACTAATTTTCGGCAATTTTTAATAACTAATATCTTATCTATTGCGAAAATTGCAAAATGGTAAAGGACTTTCCGTCTCAATTTAGTCCACTCTACATGTCCACGAACTCCGTCAAAACAATTATCGGACATGCTGTATCTTTGGAAGAATTTTTTGTCTATTTTCCTTACAATTCAAATTTTTTTTGTCTTAACAATTTAATATAAACAACCAATTTTCTTTCGTCAATTCATATAATTAATTAACAAAAATTTTAAATACCTGTGTTGAACAATGTGAATATCCTAAACCAACTTTTTTGTTTAGGCAACGTCAGTAAATTAGTTGAAATGAAAATATTAAACATTGGCTTGTTAACAATTGTGAGAAACACGCTCTGACCCCAGCAATATATAAGGAAGGTAGATATAAGATATCCACCATGAAGGTCTGTATTTTATTGCTGCACTCTCTGAATTGGTGCACACGGTGCAATAAATTAAAGTAAAACAAACGTATATTGGTTTCACTTCAACTTATTGTACCATGTGCACCAGTTCAGAGAATGCAACAATAAACAACAGATCTATAATTATATGTAAGAGGATGAAAATTATTATTAAGTAGGGATTTATATTTTCCCAAATATAGGAATATATATGATGGAAGTATATAAAAAAATGTTTAGCTATGATAATGACTGGCGATAAACAAGCTGAGTTTTAATATAAAACTGGACTTCTTAATAATTTCGATAATAATCTACAGTTTCGAATGAGAAACATTGCGAGCGCATTTCAATTGTAAGAAAAATCAGATAAAAAAATATTTCAAGAATATAGGCGAAT